AGCTATTTTTATAAACAAATAACTTGTTTTATACAGTTACTACAGTCCTTCCACCAAACAAAAATCAATAAAACCAGTACTACATAGGTGTTCTTCCATCCACATGCTCTTCTTGCTAATGGTATCAGTACTGCAGCTCACAAACTATCAGTTTCTCTGCACTCATGAGTTCCTAAATATTTCTTCAATGTGCACAACATAAACATCCTTTAACTTAATGATTTCTTCCTGATGTAGAACTACATTTTACACTGTGCTGCTTTATGCTGAACATTTCTTCTTCTTTTTTCTCCCCTCTTTCTGAAGAACAGAGGGACATCGATCTCTTTGGCCTGGAACAGAGGAGAATGATTAATTCATTTTGAGCTTCTCCAGGCATCAACATGCAGTCACTAGTTATTCTTTTGATGCATAATAAAGACTGTATTTCAGAGCATGCAATTAAAGGTGAACCCTGCTTGAGGGATAATGCCAGGCTTTTGCTGGCCCAATTAAAAGTTGGAAGCTGTCTTGGAAGGGAGGAGAAACAAGGTGCATGTGGCTGAGCCATGTGAGTTGAAGTGTGTGCATGCGTGCATGTATGCATTCGTCTCCTACAAAGGAGATATTATTGTAAAGAATCTGAGAATTTATTTTCACAGAATATATCCTACTTTTCAAGTCAACATTTGATTGCAAATTACTCATTTGATTTATGCTCAGTGATTGCAACTGTTGAATGTGCCATTGCAACTTTTCAGATGTTGTGAAACTGTGCACTATTTTAATAGTTTTTGTGTGTTTGTTCAAGTTGAAATAAGCTGAAAGCAAATATTACAGGTAGTTCTGAAATCTAAGGTGCTTTACAAAAATATGACATTTAAAACTCTGCGTCTACGTTCTATACACATGCACTACTTGTGCTACCTTAGACATGGTGACAGGTCCTGCTATAGCCGTACTCCACACAGAATATCCTAGTTGCTGGGTCCAGATCTTTGCAGGCAGTCATTCATCACCTATTTAAAATGAAAAAATCACAATTTATTACACATGATTTGTTTCCTGATACAGTCTCAGCGTGAGACACACAATCAGCAGGATATTCACATTTTATTGCCCCTATAATAATTCATTGACCATAATAAGTCTGTAACTGATACTGTAATTATACAATCCCAGACATGTTTCTGTATATGTACAAAACCAGCTGAAAGCCAGCTGAATGCCCTAAATTTGCCTTTTGACACGCCCTGTTCTCTTCCTGTTATTTGTCTTCTAGCTCTGATAAGTGAGTTCATTTGGTCTTCATTCCAACAATGACCTATATCATTTTCTTTTTACCTTTCATCAACTTTACATTCATGTCCATCTCCACAAAGTACTGTAGATTATATCAGTCTCACTCTATCTCTCTTTCTTTCCTTCATTCTTTCTCACTGTCCTTCCTTATCTCCTCTCTTTCTCAGCTCAAGTATTCTACTGTATGTACTCTTTTGTGGCTCAGGTCACTTGACAAACTGTAGTTTCATGCCCTGACCTTGGATACAGGGGATATTAATATGAGCAGAGGGAATAAGGACATACAAGGACAGAGTAAATAACCTGCAGAGAGGGGTGGAGTTTTCTTATAAAGATTTTTCAGACTACCTTTTTCTGTTTCTTGAAATTGGAAGAGTGTGAGTGTGTTATTACACTGAACAACATTATAAACGCAGCACTTTTTTTTGACTTTCTCTATCTACACAAAAAGCCTATTTTTTTTCAAATATTGTTCACAAATCTGTCAAAATCTGTGTTAGTGAGTACTTCTCCTTTACCGAGATATCCATCCACCTCACAGGTGTGGCATATCAAGATGCTGATCAGACAGCATGGCTGTTGCACAGGTGTGCCTTAGTCTGGCCACAATAAAAGGCCAAAGGAGAAGTGCTCACTAACATTTTTGTATACATAGAGAAAGTCTTAGATCTTTGAGTTCAGCTCATGAACTCATGAATGTGGGCAAAACCAAAAGCGTGTTCAGTATCATTTTGACAGTTATTTGATGTTAGCAAGCTTACAAGTGTTAGTGTTCAAGTTGGAAACCAACTTTACAGCTAGTCTGGTCTTCCTAGATGATGAGATGATGAATGCTGCAAAGAAACAGTGCACAACTAACACTGTGTGAGGTTGGTAAAAGAGGGAGGAAAACATCTCATATTAATGTAGGTTATACAGGGCTATGACATTCTTCAGTCAGTAGCGCACCACAAAAGTTGACAGCTCAGAAGTCAGTGAACTGCACCCATGGGATACAACCCACCCAGAGACTTGAAGCTTAGACCCTGCTTCCCTAAATATGTCCAAAAACAGTTTTATTCTCTTTAGAAAGGGGGGGTGGGGGTTACAGTATTACAGTTTATGTTTGCTTACAGCGAAAGTTAAGAGTTTCAGTTTGACTTTAAGTTGGAAATGTATCCCTACCTGAGCTTGTTGTGACTGCACAGCCTGTCTATTTCTGGTTTTAGTGAAGATAATGAAGAAGAAGATGTGAACCCTCATGATAAAAGATGTTTGTCTCAATAATTACATGTTTCTTCAGATGAGATGGGACATTTGTTCATTTGTTTGCTGGTACTTAGAATTAATTTCAGCTGCAAATCAAACAATGGGAGCATTTTCTCATCTATCCTGTCCGTCACAGTGTGATGAACAACAAATTGTTTGTGCTACAAACACAAACAGCACTGAGGCTAGTGCCACTTGTAGCCACAGTCGATGTGATAGAGAGAAGGCCTTTGATAAAGCACACTCCATTAGTGGTAAGCCTCTGGGGTTTGTGTCATTACTGTCCTATTCACTATCACACCAGAGTTGGTCCTGCTAGGGTCAGAGTGGCAGTCAACTGTGCCCAACCTTTTCTAACAATGAATGGAGTGCCCCTGTGGTTCACTGGCAGCAGCTTGTTTGTCTGTGGACCGTATGTGTGATTGTGTGGGTGTGCTTGAGAAGTTGCAGAGGTGGCTGTTTTGAGATAGTAATTAGCTGATTTTAATGTTACAGTATGCAACAAATATCCACCAATGAAAAGGTGGTTAACAATGGTTTGAGAGTTCCCCCACCACATCCTTAGGGTCATCCAAGAATAAAGCAAGAAGGTATTAAGGCAGTTTATTAAAGTCACTGCCGCTTTCCTTCCAATTTCTCAGATATAAATGTAGTTTTTTTAATGAATCAAAACAACCACTGTGCAAAACTTGTGTCAGGGTCTATCAGTCAACAAAGTTATAAACTGAACCCTTTTGTTTTTGCCCCCATTCATCATGAGCTGAACTCAAAGATCTAAGACTTTCTCTATGTACACAAAAGGCTTATTTCTCTCAAATATTGTTCACACATCTGTCAAAATCTGTGTTAGTGAGCACTTCTGCTTTGCCTAGATAATCCATCCACCTCACAGGTGTGGCATATAAAGATGCTGGTGAGACAGCATGGGTATTGCACAGGCGTGCCTTAGTCTGGCCACAATAAAAGGCCACACGAAAATGCGCAGTGTGTATTGAATAGCAGCGCTGGAACTACAAATTATATTCATAATCAATTAATGTTGATTTTGTTTGTTGTTTAGCCCATAAATTGCCAGAAAATAGCAACAACAACAAAAAGATTCCCATTACAAGTTCAAGAGCCCAAGGTGACATCTTAAATTTGCTTGTCTGTTTGCTTATCTAATGTTTGTTGATTTTTGTATGAGAAATTAAACAATATTTGCGTATTAAATTATTTTCTGAGATCCCTTCAGCATCACACAGAAGGTTTTGGGGTGTTAATCATTCTCCTTCTGCTATAATATGACTCCAAAATAATGTATGTAGGTGAAGAAAAGCTTTGCCTGCAGAGAAAGGTTGTTTTGAATGTGGCTTATAATCTCTCTATTAGCAGTAAAAAGCAATAATAATATTAGTCATGTCTAAGGACATTCTCATGCCCTGTATTCCACTGTTCCGGATTAGAAAGGCATTGAGCCAGGGATTAATGGAGGAAAGAATAAAGCTTCCCTTGGACAACAGAGGAGGGAGGCAGGGGTTAATGGGTCAAGACTCTGAGTACTTACACATGCACACTCACACACATACAAACATACACATTCTTTCACACAGATTCAGCTACTCATTTTAAAGCTGCAGCATAAGAGATGGCATTCCATAAAATGTTTTCCAGGAACTATTCAGTTATAGCATCAATAGTTGAAAGTGACAGAGTTTCCCCTCTGATCTCCAGGCCACGGTATGCAGGCTTAACTTGGCGTGTGACTCTGAGGAATTTGTGTTTGTCTCTGTTATTATGCCAGTTGTTTGTATACATGCATGTCATGTCTAGATAAACAGTTCCCAGTTGGAAAAGAGTGTATCCAATGCCTTGTGTTAGCCTTTTGAGCTAATGGTCAGTATGGATGAAATAAAGTAACAGTTCGGGTACCATTGGATTTATTGAGGTCGGGTTTTAAAATGGCTGGTACTGGCCAGGTCGGGCTCTTGCTGTCCCCAAGACACTTTGAGATAATCCCTTAGTCTTTGTATCCCAAAGATAAAAGCAAGATGTCCACCTAACCTATCCGCCAAAATTCAACTTATAAGTTGGATATATTGCAGTGCTAAAGCAGGAATATCTGATTGTAATTGAACACTCAGCATGTGAAAATTTTGACTCCCTAAGTGAGAAGCTGATGCACCTCACAGGAGGTGTGTGGTCAGGTGTACTGGTATGACCGGTAGTACAATGTGCAAAAGGATTTTAGGATTCTGCACATTTCTTAGATCCTCATTGGTTTGTCCGCCCAACAGTCCAAAACCCAAAAGGTATTCAATTCGCTATCATAGAGGACTAAAAAAAGAAAAGTCGGAACAAGTACATTTTTGGCACTTTAAACTTAACACAATTAATCTGCAAGATAGTTGAAAATTGATTTTCTGCCATTAAACTAATAATTTCAGCTCTAGAGACGGTGTAATCTAAATGTGTCCTTTGTTCTCTTCCAGGCTGGATCCTACTCCATCCTCCGTATCCCTGAGTGATATCCACCTCCAGCCCCGGACCCCGGGCCTGTTGATATACACCAACAAGACCTCCAACATCTTCCATATCTCCATTTTCACACCAAGCTGCACCACTCCAACCTCACAGGGGGTTGATTCCTTCTGAAGACCCCCTTCCTCCCAAAACCCCAGGGACGGGACCCTGTCATGTTTCACTGACTGACCCCTCCCGACCGGCGAATGACAAGTGTGCATCCGAGGGTGGGGCTTGCCTCAGTCTCTCATGATTGGCTGCTGGATGGAATTAAGGTGAATGGAACACGTTCCTGAGGAGCAAGACCCTAACCCATCAGAGGGAGAAGAGAAACGGTGAGTTTGAGTTAGTCAGAGTAATGTTAATACTAGCATAAGTCACGTCCAAAGCTTTGCCTAAGAAGAATACTTAATACTTCACCGGGGGGAAAAAATCACAAGACACAATGACTGAGAGATACAGGTAGAGATTTAAAAAAGGAAAATATTAGTAATAAAAACAAGGTTAATAATGGTAAAACAATGAAGATATAAAAAACAACAAGTATAAGACATTAAATAACAACAATGATGTAAGAAAAATGTGGAAACGATTAAAAGCTAAATTCTAAAAAATAAGTTTTGAGCTGTTTCTTAAAACTATCAACCAAAATTGAGCTCTTAAAATGAGGCAGACATGGCTTCCTGTTATTTTGTAATGATGGATAAGGTTTTCTAAGGACATCCAAAACGGAATCTTTATTTTTCTCCCTTTTATCGCTTAATCGTTCTCATGGCACTGTATGTTTTTACATCTCTGGGCCAGACAAGGTAAACATTGTAGCAGCCTCTTTTTCCTCCCCGCCAATCTCTTCCTCTCGTCTGAATTGTTTTCACAACACCAGGCCTATAGCTACATCTGACCTCAACGCTCCTCCCCCTTCTCCTTCATTTCTTGAGAAGCAGAGCCAGTCAGAATGGCCCAAACACAAACAAACAGCACTGTTTAAGCCCCTTCTCATTAATGAAAACATAATATTAGTGGAATGGAGCCTTTTTCGTAGTGCCATTGCTAGAGGAAGAGGCCTCTGGGTAAAGGAAACGGTTATCAGACATTATTTCCTTTAAATAAAAATTTAAAGTATTAAATTAGTGTCTGTCTATCTCTGTGAGTAACTAAAGCTGTAATTCAAATGACCTCCACAAGTTTTTTAGCAGATTTGTTGTCTTTTTTGTTTTGTGGAAAAACAAAGCACTTCTGTTTACGAAATGTAGCATTTACCACTTTCAGAGTAAGAGGATAGAAGGAGCACATTAAGGCAACACTAGACACAGTCCATTAATATCGTGTTTGAATTTGACTCCTGAACTTTTCACACTAAAATATTTTCTGTCTCTACAATTAAACTTACATTTGTGTGATATATGAGTTTATATATTATCAACATGTGGAGGGACTAGCTGGCTGCCTAGACTGCAGCATCAGATTTCACTTCACTGTGTCTCCATGTGCTGTATTAGAAGCTTGTGTTAAGAAAGTCAATCCGGCGGGGCCTTGATAGATTCCTCAGCTAACATAGACACCTGTCAGGAGATTAACAGTTCTGCTGCTGGGGGCAGTTGGTGTGATCATGGATGTAGGAGTCCGTACACGAGCCTTTCTGTTTCATTTCACATGTTCGGGCGTACGTTTACTGTGTATCTCTGCTTGTGTTTCAACACCTGCACAAAGTGCTGGCTGTAGCGCTTTGCACCTCACGGATAATTGAAAGCACAAAGAATTAAGCCCTCAGAGAATCAGACAGCAGTTGCTACCTAGAGAAGATAACAGCGGTGTGTTCTGCACGACAGTGGATTTTATTAAATCTCTACCGCTTCCCTCTGCATGGTCAGCCTGTTGTTTTGAACTGATGCGGCTCTTTGAAGTGATGCTATGGTTACCAGCGTGCAGACAGTGAATAGAACACCTGTACCTATGGATTGAAGATTGTTTGATATGTGCTCAACCATTTTCAGCTCTTCTTTTACATACATACGAAATATTTTGTCTGATAATCAAACATTGCAATAATGTTATATTCTACATATTGGATTTGATTCTCTGTTTTTGTGGTTTCTGAGCTGCTAAAACCAGAAGGTTTGAGGCTATTTTATGTCAGTTTCCCTTCATTAGGCCTCTTTGTCATGCTGGATTTAGTTGAAATGTGGAGATGTAGCTGCAATTTGCATCATTTCACATAACATGTTACCACATCTGATGCAAGGCTGCTTGCATTGTGTTGCATTAACAATGGCAAAGGCTTGCACCCTAGTGGAGTATAGTTTGCTGGATCCAGGGTTCTTTGTTGCTGATGTACTGCAAGAGGCCTGTTTTCATCCACTGCACTGATCTGAGAGCCTCAAGTCAAACATGTGTGATACTTGATATCAGTACTCAGTTAATTGTTGGTTAAATATTTCTCAGCCAACTCTCCTATTGGTGCTATAAAGATAAACTCTAAAGCAATAAGTTATTCTAATGATTTTATCAGGCCAACTTAGCAAATAAGATGGAACAGTTGCTAAGTTAAGTCTGATGCAGCATTTGTACATAATGTTATTTCTCCTTTGCTCCCACTTCCATCATTTAACATGTTACTGGGTATCAGTGCTCATCAGAATTTCATATTCACCACAGGTATGATGGCTGGTTTGCTCAGCTGTAAATAGCACAAGATGGCTGATAATAATATGCATCCAGAAGAGAGAAATAGGGACATAACTATCTACAGTAAAAAGAACAGAAAATGTGGTCCTTATTCAAGCCACATACAGTATGTATCTAAAATGTATTACTACAGCCAGACTTTTTAATTGGCATTTATCGGCTGTTTCAAAACACCAATACCAATTTATCTTGTTTTCTTCTATGACATAAAAGTCAGGCCTCCCTGTGTTTTCTTCCTTACTGCCTTTAATGTCTACTGCAGCCCTTTGTGTCTCTGTGTTGATCAGATTATTTCCCCTGCCATGCTACAGTGCATTATGTCTGTGGTGCAACTGAAAAAGTAAACAAGATCCAGCTTTTCCTTCCCCTGGACATGCCCTGGGTTAAAGGCATTGTTAATTGCGCTCTTGCTATGGATTTCATGACGAAAATGATAACATATTTTGTTTAAAATTGTATTTTTATACATTATTGTAAAGTCTTTTTGAAAGTGTATCCTATTTTCCTGTTGTTTTTACTTTTTCAGTCATTTATGAATGATTTAATGGTTCAGTTAGAGATTCATTTGAATATTCACTCAACAGTGCATATGGTTTGATTATCATTGGAAATATTTTAGAAAAATATAGAATAGAATTTATATATGACACAAAATATTTACATATTATATACATATTTAAGATGTGAAACAAATGCTGCTAAATTTAGGCTTAAATGTAGCCATTTAGCTTGTGAAGTCTTTTTAAAAAATCAATAGTACAGGATGTGTCGAGCTATAGATATTTGAGGATTTTGCTCCATGTTTTATTGGTTATGTGTGGTTTATGTACACTTGTGTGTTTAGACAGAGGGAGTTGTGTCGCTTTTGCTCAGTGGCATGCTATATCCCCTTCTAGCTCAGTCTGTAATTTAGACAGTGGCGGGACACATAATGGAACACAGTTTCCATTGGCGCTGGATGTATAGGACAGCACAGACCCAGCTGTATATAAATCTATAGCATGCCCACTGAACAATAGACTACTGTGGCCTTCTAAACACAGGACAGGGGGTCTCATTCAGACACCATTATACATATAATTCTCTCAACTGTTCTGAGTGTCTTTGTGCTGTTGTGTCTGTTTAACGAACATGAGCTTCAAAACAGGTGCTTCTCAGTCCTCCATTATTGACTTAAAGGGTCACTTAGCCCAGTAACATTAAACATAATTTCTTAATTACATCTAGTTGTATCTAGCCATGCAGACACATAGTTTTATTTGCCCAGGTTTGGACACATCTGTGAGATTTATGCTACCACTCCCATGCAATGGAGGTGATTGGAACTTCATTTGTGGTGCTCACGGCGATGAAACTGACATTTTAAAAATTCCACAGCAACATGTCCCAGTTACTGTGGATAATTTGTATAGCTTGCTGTCGACAGGTTTTACAGGAACTATTTCTTCATGAGTAACCAGGACATTTTTTCTGGAAAAACAAACTGCAGCCACAAGTGAAATTCTGTTTACTTGCATTGCATAAGCAGCGAGGTAGAAATCTCAGAACCACAATATAATCAAAACTATGAGCAATGCTAGGGTTTTTTTGGTATTTGGGTCAACTTACCTTTCGGGGGATAAGGATATTCCATATTTTTACGATTGTTAACAGTTCCCATGAAAAGACCAAAACCAACAATGAACCGATCCATAGTTGTCCAACAACTATTAAAACCACATCAATGAGTCACACTGTTGCACTGGATGACATGTTCACAGAGCAGCCAGTGTGTACTAATCCACAACTGAAAATATTCCCCAGCTAAAACACAATTTACTGCTGCTTGAGTAACATTTGGTAAAAAAAAATACAAAAGCAGATTTATCTCTAACATGTAGTTCTGGTGTTGATCTCTGTTTTGCTATGCTGCTTGATATTTTTGCAGTAATGAGTACTTTTTTAGCCTTGATGAAACCTGCATTGTCTTAAAATAGTAATCGGTCAGTTACCTGACTCTCCAGTCACTGTCACAGTCACAGATGAAGAAGCTGGCGGTCCTCCAATCGGTGTAGACTGGGTGGTTCTAGCAGCAGAGCAAGAGAGTCCCACAGGTTGGAGAAGAGGGAGGGAGAGGCAGAATATATTTGAGTGGGTCAACCAGCTAAACATATCACAACCGGTAGAGACATCAGGGTGTAAGAGAGTGAGAAACACTGATAGACAGAGACTGAGACCATGCATGAGGGCTGTGTTGCATAGTTGCTACATCTGCAAATTTAACTAGCAGTACTCCTCTACCATGCATATTTTACAGTCCCACTGCGTCATCAGGTCAGCACTGTAAGTCTGTCATCTTTTTGGCTTATGTTGTTTATTCTCCTGTTTTGTATTGTTTTGGGCTGTGTGTGCATTTCGTTGTGCAACATGTGTACATATTCTGCACAGCTATTGGGCCACAGGAATCAGAAAAGGCTGTTACTTCAACACGTCAACTTAAGTTTTATATTCTGTGTGAGCTGGAGAGAAAGTACAGTATGTGCATGTATCTGTGGGGTTGGCTCAGGTTGCTGAGAGGCACAGTGTGAGGTGGTGTTGCAATCTGTGTCCCGTCAGAGTTTAAGAGTTGGAAATTGAAAAGCCCTCTGTGGTATGCCTGGGCCACGGCGTCGTGCCCCAACCTGCAAAAACTCAACATTCCATCAAAAAATATTCAATCATGCATGTTTTCATCCATGGACAGATGTACTTGTATTTACACAAGGTGGCCTGTAGTTCGCTGGCCGTGTTACAATTTGAAATCCTGTCAGACTTCCTGCTTCTTCTTTTTTTTTTTTTTTTGCACCCAAAACAAATTTTTCTTTCTTTATTTGTTTAGAGTAGTACTTCAAACCATCATGTTAGACAAGAAGTTAATTATTGTTTAAAGTGCCACCTCCTGCAGTATATCTATCTAGACATGGGAACTTGCACAATGAACCTTATTTGTGCATATTGTGTTTCTCTGTGGTTATGTTTTTGTTTTTGTTTTGTTTTGCTTGCTTCTTAGGGCCACTTGACACAGTTTCTCTCCCAAGTCTTTCCACTGAGAGCTCTTGAAGTGCAATGAAAAGCTCTTCTAAGGCTCCCCAAGAGTGATAAGCTTTTTTTAGCTGCAAGGCTGCTAATATTTTTAGTAGCACTATTTTGGGATTGTTCAGATCTTAATAGAGGGCTAGAGCTGGAGGTTATTCAGAGAGCCTTGGTTTATATTATCATTTCATTATTGTATCATTGCTGGGCCAATTCTCTGACTGTTTTATATGTAAAATGTGTGCATGAAAACAAAAACAAGGCTTAACATGTGGCAGGTTGTGGCGTCCTAGGTTATGGGAGACTTGTTGGGATACAAGATAACGGTACAGAGATGCAGAGGAGGCAACGTTGTGGTAGGAGTGACATGAATCTGTTTTTATCCAGTTTGCCTATGTTGCCATCTTAAACATTATGCTGCCTCATGGGAGGAGTGAACTGTCACATAGCTGACAATTTGATGGTTGTCGCCTCCAGCAGCGGTATAGAGTGATGTGAAAGCCAACTGGCAGGGGATGAGACAGTCAGTGAAAACATCACCGTGTCTTTCTGCTGCTGTGACAGCTTTAATTATTTTTTGTCAGCCTACTGACACTAAACTTTGCCCACAAAGAGAATGCCATGCATTGGCTATGTTCAAAAACTTCTCAGATGTCCTAACTTACTACATTGTGAAAAACACACCTTGCAACCTTTGCTGTTGTTGTAAGACAAGATGTGTTTGTTCACAGGTGAGCATCCTGAGTCCTCCAGCTTTTGGTGTCAGTTGTCATTTCAAATGTCCTTAATTTTTCCCCCTCGTCAAGCTTTAACCAATAGGCTATTTAAGAGCTTAACTTAATACCCTGTTAAGCCATCTGATGTATTCTGAAAAGGGCAAAGGGAACCAAAACTGAGAATAAAACCGTGCTTATAATTGAAGCTGAGGTAAAATGTGAAGGGCAATATGAGCTGGCATTAAGGCTTAATTACAGCAACTCCTGAACTTAACAGGCAATTATATTGTTATGCTTGTTAGGGGCAAATATTGTTTGCTGGTGTGGAATATAGAAAACATCCTGACTTATAAGAGAAGTGACAAAGTTCATGATAATTTAGAAGCAGTGACAGAAAATGTGCAATCTTGTTTAAAAGACCTTTTGATCATTCACGGGTAACAAGAGTCACTTTGCATAAAATATCTTCATTATTATATAGGTGAAAACAAAAATGTGAGATGAAAATGTCATAATGTCCGTGAAACTTAAACCCAAAAGCACAGATCTGATGAGTAGGCACAGGGAAACGCGTGATTGGTCCAAAAACTAAAAATATTACTTGAAGACTAGTCGGCCGTAGCGCAAATACTACTAGAGGTTAACTGACAATCTGGCAGAGAATGAGGTGAAAAACCGGGTTTGATATACTGCAGCTGCTTGATTAGTGGAATGCAGGACAGGTGAGCAGGTGGAGGTTGGCAGCACAAGCCGGACAGATAACATAGACAGAGAGACAGACATATAGACTAACAGGAAACACAGGGAAGGGGAAAACAGTAGGCAAACACAAGGGATGAGGAAGAGATACAGCAGGACCACAACAGTAAAGGTCTTTGACAGGATAGACTGAGAGACTAAATAACACCTCGTCACAAAACTGAGTTGTGTTTCTGCCTCCATGTTCATCTTTATTTATCTCGGGATGCAAAGAAATAATAAGAGGTTTAGGAGGAGGACTTTATAACCTGTACGTGACCCACTCTTTCCTTTGACTTTTTATTTGATTAAAGAAAAACCACAACAAGACCATTAATGGGATCATTCATCCATCCGATAAATTATGAAAAATGTGTCCCATGCTTGCCCCCCCACAATGAAATATTAAAATCTGCCCGTCCGTTGCGGTTTGTTGTTGTGTTTTTTAAATTAAGAACTTGTTCCACATATTTGTCATTTGCGTCTCCTCTGCACAGTGTCAGAGGAGTCCCTCCCCACAGAGCATCATACAAAGTGATGGTCCTTTTCACTTCAAGCAACGCCCCGCTAATCCAGGAGCACATAAAAAGCTTGATTTATGAGGTTATTATAAAGCATTAACGATACGGGTGATTAGAAAAGAGCAGGGGAGCAGATTCCCTCAGAGAGTAGCCGGGGGGGCAGGGGGAGGTGAAATTCTGCCTATTTGTTTGGAGCATTAGGCCAGGAATTACACATTGTTCCTTTTAACAGAGTGGTACCTAATATCATTTGTGGTGCTAATGAAGTCCTGCTCCCTCTCCTGGAGCTGGTATTAAAGGGTCCTGGTGTGGGAGGAGAGCTGGAGGCTATCAGGAGTGTCTGAGAGCAGAGAGCTGGATTCTAAACACATCCAGTACTGAAAAGCAGCACTCACTGACTCTCTCCAGTACTCTCTCCCCCCTCCGCTACTCTCTCCCTCTTCCATCTCTGCGCTTTCATAATTCCCTTCAGAGCAGCCAGTTCCCATCTGGGCTTTACATGCCTTTCACATGTGTCAGTATGGTTGCAGGTGGGTTTTTGAGTGCACATGCTTCTTGAGCATGTGTGTTGCTTTGTGTATGCTTGATGCATATAAGAGTTAGGATCTTTATGTTTCATCTGTTATATATTACTTGAATTTCCCTTGGGATAAATAAAGTATATATCTATCTATCTGTGGGTCTTTCCCACGTGCACTCTAATAATTAGAGTATACTTGGGGTTGAATTGTACTCCCCATAAAATCCTTTTTCTACTGCTTTGGGAGCCCCCTCAAGAACAGGGCTTTTTCTGCCAAATACAGCTATGTGTTGCCTTAAATGCTCTGTTTGACATGGCAGAAGAGACAAATACAGAAAGGTTTCAAGAAGTCTGTGAAGATTTTTTTTTCATGAGCTTATGACACTGTCTGAATTGTACTGATGCTTTACCTTGTCTGCTTGTGATAGCAGGGGAATTAGGTGACCTTTCAACTTGTTGAGCAAATATTTTTCTTTCAAATGTGGCTAAACTGTACAGACTGTTTCATGAAATGTGTGTGTATATTTACACACACTTATTTCTCTCTTTTGTTTTCTCTTAGGTGGCTCAATGGCCCGAAAAGGAAGAGGAAAAACAGCCAATGTTCGGTGAAGAGTATGACTGGTGAGTAAGTGGATGGGTAGTGTTTTGATGAAGGGAGACTCTCTAAATCAGCTCTGAAGTGGCAGCTGTCTGAATTTTTAAGTCTCTTCAGAAATGCACCTCTTCTTTAGAAAATCCAATGAATTCAAATGCAGGGAACCAGTCGTTTTGAATATTGCTTTCCCCACATTTTGTTCAGCTATGTTTGATACCTTTTTGGAAGATTGTAGCTGTCAGTGTCAGACAGTGAATGCAGGCAGTTGAGTGGCTACACAGAAGCTAGTGATACATGATTCATCGCCGCCTTGTGTACATTACGCTTTCGATTTGTCACCTCCACAGAGAAAAAGTAAAACATCTTGGCATCTGTCATCAATAAACGAAAGCCTTCTGCTCCGTTTGCTTTCTTGTCGGAGGCAGCAAGTTGTCTGAGTGACGGCTTTAAATCCCCTGAGCTGAAAGAAATGAGTACAGAAGGGAAGAGAGAGAGATTGACAGAGATAGGGTGAGAGAAACACAAACAAAAAAATCTGAGCCTACAGGATGCTTGAGTTGGCATTTATAACATATATCTTCCAAGGCCAGTCCTCTTCCCGTGTTTTCCCTCCCAGCAGGCTTGTTGCCCACCTGTCTGCATCACTGTTGATATTTTGTACCATATTCTACCTGCCATGGTCCATTTGAACAATGTGTCTGCCTGAGGGACATGGTTGTCTGAGATTGAATTACGTATACTGTAATGATGTCAGCGATTTCCTGTGGGAGAGTGGACCCTCAGCCAGACTTTTGATGCTTCAACAGGCTTTCAGGACACTGACACGTGCAATGATTAGGGGTGTGACGAGACACTTAAACCACAAGACGAGACGAGATTCGAGATTGGGTTCACGAGATCGAGACGAGGCAAGATTTTAGCACTACCTTTAATGCTGGATTATAAAAATTACACAGCATTAAACACTTATTCCTGCATTCTGATGAATTTTGCACCAGTTTATGGTGAAAATGTTTTTTATTTATGTAAAGAGAAACACAAAATTCATGTGGCAGGTGACAATTCGAACTCTATAGCCTAACTCAATCAGAAAGTCAGTACAGCTCTCAGTCATTTCTGTTTCTCCTGCATCAACTTATTTAATATCATCCCTGCTGAGTCATGATTTAGTCTTCCCTCCTCTTTTGCGTCTTTGTTTTCTCTTTAAATGTGATTCTGGCACCTTTTCACCTCAATAATAAATTATTTAATTAATTCAGTTAGAAACTCCTGGACTTAATTAGCTCTTGTGTTCAAAACTTTCTGCACATCTTTGTTCTCTGACATGTCCAGAAAAAAGTCATAATAATAATAAATAATATAATAAAGAACTGTTCATCTGATCAGCTTCAAACTTGGCGGGTGTATTGCTGAGGACCCGCAGTTCCAGAGCCACGGTTTTAGACATGTATGCATGCGTGAGTTTAAACAACAGTTTGTGACTACGTTATACCCAGAGCCATCACATGAGTGGGTTAAGGTTAACCCTCTCTCTCAATGCCGCTTGTTATACTTAATGAGCAGTAGTGGGCACACTAGTTTTGTACATCAACTGTTGTTTCAACTCCAGGTTCTGTGTATAGTTTGTTGTCTCCTGATATCCTCAGTGTTTACAGTCTCAAATGTCACCTCACTGTGCTGTTGTCATGTAAGGACCTCGGAGAAACGATCTTTAGACTTCTTCAGGGACCTGATTCATACAGCCCTAATCCACACACTTAGTTAAAAAGGAATGGCAGATGTTATGTTGGGAAACTTGTAAAGACAAAATATTTATCTTGACTAAGCCACATTAAAAAAAACTCCTTCCTTTCCTGGGTTTTGTTGGTGGAGGTATTGCAGGGCTCGTTATGGGAGGGGTGGAAGCCAGAGCCGCAGCACTATTGATTTTGGGCTTGGCTTCCAAACGCTGCCACAGCAGGCTGGCTCGGCGATCCGGCTGATGCTGTGTGC